TATCCTATGTACAATCACATCAGCCATTCCAAAGTTATTGTCACTGCAAGAAAAAGAGCAAAAGGCGATTAGATGTCAAATGTTAGTTCAAACTAGGTCATGGTGAAGTTTGCACACAGCGTGTGAGCTGCATCAGTGACGAGCAACAACAGAGTCAAACTCTCAAACTTACTTTATTCCAGCATCCTGGTACAGGTAAGCCATCGTCCCCCTGGAAGAATCAAAACAAGATGTTCAATGAAAAATACAGAGACTACATAGATTAATAATATTGTAATGCAAGTGTGAAGCCAATACAAACACAACCGGTGTACAATTATATAAAATTAATCAACACTATTTTTTGTGGCAGAGTGGTGAGAGTAATTTTGGCAATCGAGGTTCAGGAAGTAGTTGTGTTCTATCAGGTCATGTTGTATTACTGTAGGTCTGTGCCCAAATCAGACTTTTCAAAATGGAAACACATTTCATTGTTACTTCTTGTGATATGGTTTTATACTCAACATGATTACTTTTGAGCTGTAGCCATGATTGTGGATATGAACAATGTCATGTCCTTAGTTATATTATGAGAAACTTGGTGGCTTCTCTTTAACGCTTGTGCCAGGATGTTCAAATCTGTAGCCACTTTCTCACTGACATCTTGCTGGACATGTCCATTTTCATTGGCACTATGCTATGAGACATTTTCCTTGGTGGGAAACTTCGGTGACTCTTTCCAATCAATACGAATTCAAGCAGCACTGGAACATTGTTCAGTCTGTGTCAAGTTTGAAGAGACTGAAGCATAAATTTGAAAAAAGATTGAAAGTAGCATTGTGTTACATTAACATGTTTCTATTGTAAGGATCATGAACATTAAGATTAAAGAAACCCTTTACTTCCTAAACCAGTGGATCCCCAAAGCCCTCTCTACTATACTATAAACAAAGATTTCATTATTATGACTTTAATAATACAACAAAACAAATGAGAACATACCTAAGACACTTAGTACCCTCTGTAGAAATCTCTTTGTCATATACTTTGGTAAGAGACATTCTTTATGACTCAGCGCACAGCAGGAGGTTGACACTGTTGTTTCAGAGCTAGCTGAAGCCTTACACTTGCTGGGGTTTCACATTTAAATGAATAATTTGATGAGGATGATGAAGAAGGACAAATTCTTACCTGTACAGATACATTTCAGATACTATAGAGACTCTATTGTCGATTCCATTTTTCCATTACCAGACTTGAGAACCATGACCAGGGTACTATATCTTTTAGTACCAAATCTAAGCACCTACCTGTCCCATCTGCTGTAATAACAAGTATATACAACTCATTTGAGATTTTCTATTCTCTTTTAGTATTACCTTTTAGTCTAGTCAAAACATATTTGGTTTCTTTGAGAACATCATTTCTTGCAGTATAATGTCCAACTGTGGTGACTGCAGTATTATGGATATATTCAGGTTCAAGCAATATTTGAATATGGTTAGGGAATATTCATGGTTGGATTTATTACAGAAAGTCCACAGGCTACTTTCTCTAACCTAAACCAAACCCCAGGCAGAATGGTCCCACTGCTTTTCTTCATCAATGGTATACTGTTGCCTTGAAGATGGTATGAATTGGTGCTCCATGCGAGAAACGATTTAAGAATCAAGGGGTTATGTATAAAAGCTGTAGTAGTATTAATACAGAAATTTCAAGGCTCTACGAATACAATTATTATTTCTGGTAATTTAATTGTGATATTAGTCACAGTCCCAGATCTGCATTTTAAATTAAAATACAGCCATTGTGATGGAAAGGTTGTGTTAAATGAGTGTGTCCTTGTATGTGGGAAATGCTTGCTCATGTTAGTTCTATGGAAGATCAGTTCAGAAGGTCAGTTGGAAATGTTCTAGCTTGTTACTAGGTCAGTTGAGTAAAAGAAGTTAAATGTGATGCACATGTTCTCTGAGAGTTAACAGTGCAATATCTGACTGCCATCATGCAGGAGTGTGGTTAGAGAAAGCTCGAGGCATGCTGGGAAAAGTGAAGGGAAAGAAAGAGCACCATACCACAGGGCAAGGGGCATCCAGCCCGTCCAGGCCTGGCAAACCTGGTTCACCTTTCTCCCCTTTAAAGCCTCGGAAACCCTGTTTGTGAAATCAACCATTTAAAAAATAAGGATGCAGCTCAGGTGCAGCAGGAGTGTTTGTCCTCCCCTGCTCGATGGAAGGAGCGATCTCCACTTCTGTCCTCTGAGCGACTGGAGACAGGTTTCCTAAACATGCAGGCAGCCTGAGCCTGACAGGAACTAGGCTCAGTGAGATGAGTTCAGCCCTTTTGATTGTTTCACACTTGTCACATATTCTTTAATATGAAAGTCACAGTAAAAGGACGGAGGATGAAATTTGAGACAAAATGTTTTTGGTACATTTTGATGCTCATCAGCAGAGGCTGCCTGATTCCTGTCTGTCTCATTCCTGCAAAAAAAGAAGCTACCCAGGCAGAGTTGTGGTCAGTGACCCCATGAAGTAATTTAGTTTTCAAATGTATAATCCAATCTCTCTTTAAAATAATGTTTTTTCATATTAATCAATTCAGCCACACATCTCCCGAGAACTGGACCAAACTCTTCCTGGGATTGATTAGAACCACTGAATACCAGAGCCAAAAGGAAGGTGACTACCGAATACAAACCTTCAGGGAAACTGAAGTGCTATGCCATTATAATATTGTATTCGAAAATAGTTCTCCTTCCCTTTGCCTCTTGGCTACACATGAAGCTACGGACATACCAACGGACAGGGGGCATCTAATCCAGGTGCTCCTTGGTCTCCCTTATCCCCTTTGGCCCCCCTGTTGCCTTTCTTGCCCCTCTCTCCCTGCAAACAGTGTATTCAAAAAAGACAAACTTTAGTCCTCCTGATTTTAAGCCACACATTAAGCAAATTTTAAATTGTTTCGCTTTCACATAAATTTAATTTAGACAATATGAAAAATAAGCTTTTATTAGCTATGTTTTAAGGAAATTATGACTTTTTTAAATAAATGTAGTGGAGAGGGAAGGTAAGTAGAGGTAGTTAGGGAAGGATAGTTTTATAAGCCAGTGTAGTTGGTAAGCAGGTTTCATTCAAAGAATTTTAAAGACTCTCTACCGCTTATTGTACAGTAAGAGCAGAAATAAGAAGGTTGTCACGTGTACTCAAACATGAAAGTGAGCAATGGGATAGTGATACCATGAAAAGTACGCTCAAACACTTGGCCAAGTTGTTTATCTAATCTTGGCTTCATAATAACAAAGGCTTCCTAACCTAACTATGATGTTTTTGTGCCTACTTTTCAACTTTTTTTTTCAACAGTTTTACTGCTTTTATGAAAAGAGCGATATAAAAGGTTTTGTGGCTCCTGAGGGAGCTGTCAGATGTTTAATAGTGTCTTTACGACACAAGTCAATTGTACACATTTGGGGGTAAGGTTATAAAGAAGTGATCTTACCAGACCAGTGCCTCAATTCTGCTTGAGGTTTATGGCTCCAGACTTCATCAACTGCTACATAATCTCTATAAACATATTCTCTATGTGAATATTTAAAATCTGTTGGCAAGGGACAAGATTTTGGGGGCAAGGCCTTCTGTTTCTAGTGACCAATCGGTGTGGAGACCAAAAGAGGCGCAACACATTGATTATCAGATTTTTAATTTATCTCTATTCAAATGCAGTTAGCTAAGTCAAAATTTCATTTGGACCTAATACACCAACAAAAAGCATCACTGCTTGTGTTGGATGTGGAGAAACGTATGTCTGGTGTGGACTTGTAGGGCTGTTAACAATGCATGGGGAACAGAAGACAGAGTCTTGGCCCACATACGCTGTCAGTGCCAGAAGGACCAATATATTGGCAGTTGCCCCCAGAGGCTAATTTGTTATCAGACCACAGATGATGTGCTCCAAGATTGCTATGAATGTAACAAATCAGGATCGCTGTAGTTGCCCTGTGGGCACCAGAGTCCAAGAATGCTATAATAGTGCAATGCTTCATTCTTACTGTATACAGTTTACAGGATGGGGCAGCTTAGTCATGATATTAATTGAATACCTGCTCACCAAGGTCAAAGGCTGTAAGGGTCCAGATTATCTGCTGCCTGACTGCAGTGTTCTCCCAGGACTGTCTTAGCATCACAGCTGCACAACTCGAATATCACTTTCATGTGGTTTAAGCCCTGATCACACAGTGTTTTGTGGTTTTGCAGTGAGGCCATGTGAAGCACACAACTCAACTTTTTTTGGTTGAAACCAACAATCAAAACATTATGATTCCTCTGCAACATTAAATCACTTGATCAAACTCAATGTTGTGAAGTAAACTCTATTCAAGTTATTTAAATACGTCAAAGTGGGGGGCACTTGCTCTTAGAGGCTGTTCCCAAATAACCATCAGAGAAAGCCCACCTATCAATTCATGCAATTAGACAATGGGGAAAAAAATTTAATTTTCTAGCATCCCTCTGAGGCAAAAATATGAGGCAGTCTAAGAGTCTAGAACGTCAAAGCGCCTCAGACAAATGAGCAGGATGCTATGTGCTTAGTGCCTATAGAAAACAACTGCAAAAGGATGCCTCCCACTGCAAAAACTACACAGAACACACATTACCCCAATAAATAACATTTATTATAAATAATCCCAACAGTTCCCACAATGGACTAGCAACTTGGTAACTGTGGAGAAAAACCTCTATCAGCACCGTGATTTGTTTTAAATTAAACTGAACCTGTTTATTCCCAGTCCGCATTTGATGCTATCCATTATTTGTCGTGTTTTTGTCTTGATGATGCTCATTGTGCATTTTCAGCTAGCTAGCTTCTCCCCCATAGCAGTACAGTAGCATTCCACTGTTAATTATAGACACAAAACAAGACTTAAAGGGATAGTTCCCCAAAAAATGAAAACTCATTATCTACTCATCACTATGCTGATGGAGGAGTGGGGGAAATGTTTGAGCCCAAAAATCAGTTTTGGAGTCTGAGGGGTAAACAGTTTTGCAGCAACATCCAATACAACTGAAGTAACTGGTGACTTCTTCTTCAAACGTAAACATATAACACATATGACGCCGATTTGAGTCGAATTTGAACGTTGGGGCTTCCGGACACTTGGATGACACCACATTGTCTGTTCATTTATTACACTGTTTACCTCTGAGAATCCAAAAGTGTTTTGTGGACTCAAACACTTAGTGGAGAGTAGATTACAAGTGAGTTTAAATTTTTCAGTGAACTATCCCTTTGAGGTATATTCTGAAATAGCTTGAAGGCTTTGTTTCAAAGTGCAGTGCCTAGCTGAGTGTTACTAGTAGCAGAAGCTCAAATTCTGAGATCATGCATTCAAAAAATTGTTTTTAAGTGCATTCTTACTTATTTTGAAATCTGTTGTGCTACTTGGGAAATTATGAAGCCCACTCCATGGCTTTTAGTTGTTTGCAAATTTTGACAAGGCTCTAGATAAGGCAAATTAAATATCAGCGCATATTATAAAGATGATTGTTAGAAGTTGCAAGGTTCTATAGAATTTTCCCCCAAACTGTCTTAGAGATGATTTGCTGAAATATGCAAAATCTTTGGTGTGCTAGCATCTAGCTATAGTATCGATTTTGACAGGGATGGGAGAGCACTGCTTGTCAATTTGAGGTATGGATCACAGGGTCAGGGGTTGGAGGGATGACATGAAAGGTTGCAAGGAAAAGGGACTGTTAAGTGGAAGCAGGAGGAGTAAAGAGGTGTAAGAGCAGAAAGATTAACCAAGGCCAAGGATTGTGAGAGGGAGAGAGGGCAACCCGGCAATAAACAGAGCCACGGGCCACAGAGCAAGGTGGAGGGAAGGAAAAGGGGATAGGAAGACCTGTGGAAACAAAGGAAGACAGGACAAAGAGTAAAAAACAGTAACACTATCCCATAGCTTTGTCTTCAACACCTTCAACTGGACAGTCTCAATGTGTGTTTATTCGAAGTATATTCTTCTGTGCATTGAAAACATAGCTGCTTTTGATGAGAGGCCAGTTGAATGTGCTGAGAGGGCTTATGAAATGTGCATACTTAATAGATGGGAGTGGAAATATTAAGAGTCACAGGTTAATAGGAAGGAAACGGAAACATTCATTTAGAGGAAGGGTACATGGACGTTACAAACACATTCTCTGATATACTACAACCTGGAGATGAAATACAATATTTACACAGCATAACTAGCAGAGCTTTACTTGAAGAGCAAATAAATTGAATAATTTGGTAATTTGGGAAACATGTTTGTTTGCATCATTTCCAAGACGAAGAAGATGGACATCAATTTCATTTTGTGTGATAGATACAGAGCTGCAGTCAGGATCTTGTATACTAGCTTTGCATTAAGGCTATCTGAATATGCAAACTGTTTTTCTGTCTCTGTCTAAAGAAATTAAAAGTTTATCCATCTGCCCAGCAACTCTGACTGAAGTGCATCACCTCACAACAAGAACTTTGGGAGCCTAAATTTCCCTTGGGATCTATCCATTTATCCATCCATTCCTTCACTGCATCCTGCTCACTGAAAGCAGCAGCCTGTTACTGCTGGAAATCAAGTATTTATTATAACGTTTTAATTTATTGACATGAGACTGATATCCACCTTTCCTCAAGTCCAATCCACATTATGATTATCAAATCGAGGAAAACAAAATGAGAGAACTAATTGAGGTTAACATAGCTTTGTCAAGCTCAAGATAAATTATCCTTAATCAAAAAAAAAAAATCTCTTGAGGTCTTTTGATCAAGGCAAAGAAAAGCAAAGACATCTTGATGTTAATTATTCAGAGTCATTATAGAACACAATCAAAGCATACTATCTGGCTCATCTGGTTATCTTTTCATGTGTGATATCAAAGAGATCATCCCATTTATTGATATTCGGCTCTTTAATTCATGTGCTCTACTTAAGTGCATCTTTGAAGTCATCACAAGTCTGCTCGGGTGACCTATTATGGCCCAAAAAGGCATTTGCTAGAATAATGGCTGAGGCTGAAATACAAGAGTCATAATGTGTTGAGTTAAAAACATAAAAGTGACCTGGTCTATGTATATTCCACAGATGAAATGTAATGTGTGCCCATTAGCTAGAATAATTTCCCTGCTCTTTCTATCTTTATCAATGTTAAATTAACATTAGAGTCAGTATCTTACCCGGTTCCCTTTGAGTCCTTGTGGTCCTACTAAACCCTGCAAAAAGAAATAACACATAACATTAGTGGCTGTGTATCTTTCCTGCTTTGGGGGAGGAAACAATGCTTATTTGCAAGATTTTAGAAAATATGCTTGGTCGCTGTCTTGGGTTATGTTTAGACTGACATAAGCATTGTGTTAAAAAATGCATTTTTTAATCACAATGGGGTTCTCTGTCTCCCTGATTCATTTCAGTGAGGCACAGAAATTAAGGCTCATGCAGTGAGAAAGTTGAAACTGGCCCAGCTTTGGCCACAGTGTAATGAGATGATGTGTCAGCAACAGCCTGCATTGGCCTGTCACATACAGAGTGTGCAAGTATATATTCCCAGTTAGTTTAAATAGCACTTAGCAGTAATGTGAATTGAGCGATACTATTGTTCTCTACTCGACCGTTAACCTTTTGGTTGTCTAGACAGAGGATTAAATGATTTTGTTTTTTTCACAGTTGTTGCACACTTGGCTGCAAGGATGAAGGTTGTTCGTGGTGGTCAATATAATGGACATCCAACAGTATATCTTTATTTATACTGCATGACAGAAAATAAGGAAAAGTATCTGAAAGTATTTCCTATTTAACATTGAATAACAGGCTTACAGGGATGCCTTGAGGCCCAGTTGGTCCTGGTAATCCTGCGTCTCCCTTTTCACCCTGTAGTGAAAAAGAGCAAGAAAGTAGATAGTGTATATTGTTCTGAAACTGTATAATGATTTTAGACGATGGTTCTAGAAAAAGAATCACTCACTCTCTCTCCTTTTGGTCCTGCTGGCCCTGACACACCTGCTGGTCCTATTAGACCCTTTAAAAAAGAATAAGGAAAATAAATACCTGTCAGCAGATACAACCTGAATAGTGCCAGACCATTTATCATGGCTCAATCAGTAAATCAACAAGCTGTCTGGTGGTCATGAATAGAACAAATGTCAAAAGAGATAATGTCATGGACCAATTAGACCAATTTTTCAGAGAAAAGGCCCTGACACATGGAGCAAGACACCAAGCTTGTTGAACTACTGGCAATACTGTTAAAAAGGGAGGGAAAATGAATAAAATGTCAAATGCTGCATATTTTCTGTTTGAGTTGCAGTCAGGATTGGAGAGGAAGGCCTTGCATCTCAGGCATATCCAGCAAGTACAGTGCTGTATGCAGTACAGCTGTCCAAACGTACTATACGTGTCAACATGCAGCACGGGCATCCCTGCATGCTACTTTCTGGATTCTTAGCAATGGCAGCTTTACTGAAACAGGATCAGGACCGGGGGAACTGTGAAGGCAGGATTGAGGACTGAGGATATACAGGACACAGTTGTGGCGTCTAAGATGAGACATGATGGGAAAAGCAGCACTCGACATCAATCCACTTCACTGGTCCCAGGTGGAAGTGGGACATAATGAAGCCTGAAGTACAAACCCAGAGAGGCCATGGCTGCTCATGATTTGTTTAGGCCAATATCAAGATTCAGTTTTCACACGACCACAACTTGTTTGTTTCATTAACTTGAGGTAAAAATTACAATCTATTTTGTTGAAAAGGTCTGGACGTTTTTGTTACAGGCCTTTTCTCCATAAGTGTGTATTTATTTTGTATTTTATTTAACACATTACAGAGATCAGAAATGTGTTGAGCATCTGAACTTA